AGAGTTGCTAATTTGTACTTTGTGCAAAAGGGTTTATCAGCAAATCAGGAGTAATAAGATTTGGAGTTATGGCACAACGAGACTCCGACTTCCATATGATTTCTTCTATATCGACCGAGTTAGCGGAATGTTATTTGGTGACATATCCATCATTAAGAACATTTTGGTGCTCGTCTGTTTCTGAAGTTTTTTTATGGATAATAATGGAAGATGAATGATTGGATGAAGATGAGAATGTTATTTTTTTAATATTAAAATGATAGAAGATAACAATATTAATCTGAGTTCATGAAGCCGACCATTCAATCATCCATAGAAACCAAGAAAGGAGTTCTGGAATTGGACAACTACTGCGGTCCAGTTTTCTATTCAATGATTCACCAAATTCATTGTCTCTTTGTGTTTAACTTCTGGCCAAGTTCATAGTAGGACTTCAGTAATATGCTCTCAACGTCTTTCTAATCAATGAGACGAAAGAGAAGTTAGTGTATGTTCTTGATCAATCAAATGTATAAGCTAAATGAATGGATGCACATTAGTACGTTTGAAACTCAAGCACCAAGTCCCAATGTATTTTTAAAGATAATGGACAAGTCTTTACGAATTCGTCAACGGTTATTTATCTTTGTTTCGTCGAGATTAATTGTAAAGTTTCGATCATTATTGTTTTTGCAATGTTAGATGTGATAATGTCTATATAATTGTTCAACATTGCCAATAACAACTAATATTTTCGGTCTAATTACAATTAATTATAAAGCGAGCTTACAATATGATTTTATTGGATTCGAAACAAGAAAAGAAATGGGCCTATAACTTTTGGGCTTTTGCAACGAACAGACTTGTAGGGAACGTTGGGCCAATTTTGGACTGCAATAAAAAAGCCCAACAATGGTCGTTGAGAATCGTCATGGAAGTTGGCGAAGTATAAAATTCAGAATCCAATTTTCCGCCGCCAAGATGGACGATGAACTTCTGCCTCCTCCGTTCCCTCCGACGGAAATCACTTAACCGGCGTTCTTCCCGTGCTTCTAATCCCTTTAATGACACTATTCCCTTCCTCTCCTTCCTCAAAGTTCTAAACTTTTCGCAGACAGCCACTGCGATCAGCCATTACCCTCAGCAATTCACATCTTCCCCAACAAGTTCCAATTGGAACCCTGCTGGACTCTCTCTCTCGTCCATCTCCGACCGCTGCTCCCGCCTTCTCTCGCTATGCACTGCTTCAAAATCCTTGGCTCCAGCCATGGAAGTGCACGCCCATTTGATCATACTCGGCCTCCATCAAGACGCAAGGCTAAGAAACCTCGTGGTTAATGTCTACTCGAAGTGCAGGTGCTTCGGCTACGCACGCAAGCTGCTCGACGAAAGTCCTGAACCAGACTTGATATCCTGGTCGGCCCTGATTTCAGGGTATTCGCAGAATGGGTTGGGCCAGGAGGCGATCTCGGCTTTCCGCGAGATGCATTCGCTGGGGGTTAAGTGTAACGAGTTCGCTTTCCCTAGTGTGTTCAAGGCTTGTACTCTCACCAATGATTTCAGGCTAGGGAAGCAGGTCCATGGGACGGTGGTGGTCACAGGGTTCGAGAATGACGAGTTCGTTTTGAACAGTATGGTCGTTCTTTATGCAAAATGTGGGGAGATTGCGGACTCGACGAGGATCTTTGATGCAATCCCACGCAGGACTGTTGTCTCCTGGAATGCTTTGCTCAACTGCTACGTGCAGCGTGATTCGTTTGGGGAGGCGGTGGAGCTGTTTCAGGACATGATTGTGAGCCAAACACAGCCTAACGAGTTCACATTGTCGACTATGATAAACGCCTGCACTGGCTTGGAGGATGGTAGGCAGGGAAGGAAAATTCACGGGTACTTGATAAAGCTTGGTTATGACTTGGATTTATTCTCTGCAAATGCTCTGGTTGACATGTATGCAAAAGTAGGAACTCTAAAAGATTCTGTCAGTGTCTTCAATGGAATAGCAAAAGCTGACATTGTTTCATGGAATGCTGTTATTGCTGGTTGTGTGCTTCTTGAGTCGCACGATTGTGCGTTGGAGTTGTTCAGGGAGATGAACAAAGAGTCTGGTGTCTCACCAAATACATTTACTTTGTCTAGCGCTCTCAAAGCTTGCGCTGGAGCTGGAAATAGAGAACCGGGAAGACAATTGCACGCTTACTTGATCAGGAGGGATTTGGGACTAGATACCTTTTTGGGGGTTGGGCTAGTGGATTTATATGCAAAGAGTGGCTACATGGTTGATGCAAGGTTAGTTTTTAACGTAATTCCTGAAAAAGACTTGATTGCTTGGAATGCTGTTATCTCTGGACATTCACATAATGGAGAAGATGTTGAAGCTGTTTCTCTTTTCCCTCTGATGTACGGGGAAGGAGTAGGAGTCAACCAGACAACTCTATCAACAGTTCTCAAATCCATAGCTAGCTTGCAGGCTAGCCACATTTGCAGGCAAATGCATGCACTTTCTCTGAAATCAGGCTTTGAATATAACAATTATATAGTAAACGGCCTTGTTGATGCTTATGGAAAATGTGGACAGTCAGAAGATGCATCAAGGGTATTTAAGGAAAGTCAAACTTCAGATTTGTTGGCTTTCACTTCTATGATAACTGTTTATTCTCAAGATGGGCAAGGTGAAGAAGCTCTTAAGCTATATTTGGAAATGCAGAGTCAAGGTATCAAGCCAGATGCATTTGTTTACAGCTCTCTCTTCAACGCCTGTGCTAGTTTGTCTGCGTATGAACAAGCAAAACAAGTTCACGTCCAAGTACTGAAGCTAGGGTTTATAATCGATATCTTTGCTGGGAATTCTCTTGTCAATAGTTATGCCAAATGTGGGAGCATAGATGATGCAGAACGTGCCTTCCGTGAAATACCAGAAAGAAGTATAGTCTCATGGTCTGCAATGATAGGAGGAATGGCTCAACATGGGCACGGGAGACTGGCCCTCCAAATGTTCAATGAAATGCTGAAAGAGGGTGTTGCTCCTAATCACATAACTCTAGTAAGTGTCCTTTGTGCTTGCAACCATGCAGGCTTGGTAACTGATGCCAAGAGATATTTCTCATCAATGGAGGAGCTATTTTCTGTTCAACCTATGGAAGAGCACTATGCATGTATGATCGATATTCTCGGCCGAGCTGGGAAGCTTGATGAGGCAATGGAGCTTGTAAACACAATGCCTTACGAAGCTAATGCTGCAGTATGGGGTGCACTTCTTGGTGCTGCTAGGATACATAAGAATGTCGACCTCGGGAGTAAAGCTGCTGAAATGCTTATCAATCTGGAACCAGAAAAATCGGGTACCCACATTCTTCTTGCAAATATTTATGCATCAGCTGGGATGTGGGATGGGGTAGCAAAGATAAGGAAAGTTATGAAAGACAGTAACGTGAAGAAGGAGCCTGGAATGAGTTGGATGGAGATAAAGGACAAAGTCCACACCTTTATAGTTGGTGATAGAAGCCATCCTAGAGGCAAAGAAATATATGCTAAGCTCGAGGAGCTCAGTGAGCCTTTGAGAAAAGCAGGCTATGTTCCCATGGTGGAAACTGATCTTCATGATGTTGAAGAAAGGGAAAAGGCTAAGCTGTTGTACCACCACAGCGAGAAACTTGCAGTGGCTTTTGGACTGATTGCTACCCCTCCTGGAGCTCCCATTAGGGTGAAGAAGAACTTACGGATTTGCTTGGACTGCCATACTGCAATCAAGTTGGTTTCGAAGATTGCTTCGAGGGAAATCATCGTCAGAGATATCAACAGGTTCCATCACTTCAGAGATGGTTTGTGTTCTTGTGGAGATTACTGGTAAAAGGTTGCTCTCTGCATTTTCTGCTATGTATAATACTGTTGTAGCACATGTAACAACTAACAAATGTAGTCTTTTACAATTAGAAACCAAAAAAATTAACTCTACATAGATTCTGTGCAGTTGTTTTCTACTGGAGTTTTTTTTCTGTTTCTCATATCAGCATCATAGACTCTTCCGACATAACAGCCAGCAACGAGTACTTCCCCTTGATCGAAATTTTGCCCTCCTCAACACACAACTTCGCACCAGTCATAACCCAATACCCAGGAGGGTCTTCTGGCCCTCTCATCATCTCCTTAGTATCCACAAAATTCGACATTTTTGGCGCCTTCATTGGCATTGGAGGCCCCCCTGGAAACACAGCAGAGTTCAGATCCACCTTCACAGGCAGTTCTTCATTCGGGTTCATCAAAGCCGTACTAAACCTGGAACTGATCAGCAGCGACGAGAAGATCCCTGATTTCCTTGACATGGTAGAAGGCCCGTCCCATTCCGACCTTCGAATCCTAGCATTCGCCACCATTGAGAACCCGAGCCTCAAGTACAGAACTTTCTTGATCCCAACCATCTTGACCTCGAACCAAGCCTTGGTCACGATGGATGCGGAGTCATCGATTCGAGCTCCATTATACTGCACCGGTGCAGTGCAGACGTGGGAGAATATGCTCCAATTCACAGCCTCCAAGTAGCCTCTCTCGGGCTCATCTGAGGGGTCGTGGCTGTGGTCGTCGAAGAGTTGGAGAGTGTCGGGTAGGGATGAGAGGTGCTGTAGATGAATACCTAAGTGGTCAGCTCTTTTACCTTCTAAGTATAGCCGGATTCCTGTCACTGGCCGGTTTCCTGAATCAACCTGCAGATTTCCATGAATCCTGAGAAGTCAGATCCATGAAGAAAGTTGCTTTCTGTTTCTTATTACTCTGCTGTTTCAAAGACTAAACCTTACCGTTGCAGTGTTTACATACAGTTTAGGGCCCATGAAGCTGAACCGAAGAGAAGGTGAAGCATGTTTTCTCCGCCGGAGAGTAAGCGGCAGATCACCATAAACTGGCGCCCATTGACGAGGCAACTGAAACTCCAAGAACTGCTGAAGTTCCTCTATGGGTGGTTTATCTGCAACAATAAGCAAACTAACTTCAACACCCTCCAAACCCTAGACTTCCTACGAATCCAGTTCCGACGAAATCAAATCCTTACATCGTAGGTAGAGATTGACAGCATGAGTCAAGAATCCATTGCCACGGACGCCACTCAACAGGGAAGTGATGGGAACAAGTGACATGGAAATGACATTGGGCGACTCAACTATCGTTGACAGCCACTCGTTATGGCTCTGTCCAATGTCCATTCCTCCCCTTCTTATTGCAACACTTACGAGATCCTGCAGAGAAAAGCCAAACCAGACTTCGATTAGAAACCCACCACTAAAAATGCAAAACCTCAGCAGGAAAAAGTGCAGAGAGCAAAAACTGCAGAAGAAGCTAACCTCGCTCTTTAAGGAAGTGATTACAGGCGGCCTAACTGAATTAGCAGCATACAGCAGATGCATTCCCAATGGCATAGGTTGTGCGGCCTGAAACACAAATGGAAAAGATTCTGACTTTATTGCCACCCATGATTGCCCATTAGACTTCCAATTCATGGTTCATGTCTTCAACCTACCTTTGGTTTAGCAGAAGACGCTTCAGAAGAATCCTGAGAATATCTGTCATCAGCTAGCTGCTTCAGCAACTTCTGGACTTCAGTGGGATCAAGATTCGATCTTTTCAGCTGTTTCAAATGGATGGCGTCTTTCCCACCCATTTTCACCCCAACCACGATATGGGTCCCGTATTTCTCAATAAACCTGCCATTACCCATATCAGTAAAAAAAAAAAAACTGCCATTACCCATATCAGAAAACTCAAGAACAGGAAACTTACTCGGCAAGAGCTGCCGGATCCCAGGAATTGGGAACTTCAGCTTTGACACTCTCCGACAGCGACAAATGCGACCTTTCCAGCTCGACGTTGTACAGAGTGATGAACCACCCATCAAACGACAGCGTCTTGACCGAGCCGGCGTCCTTCGCCCAGCAGCTCTTGAAGTCGAACATCGCGTTGAACATCCCCGTCGGGATTTTGCCGGATAAAGATAGCTCCTGATTGAACTTCTCCGACATCTAACACAAACCCAGGAAGCAAAAATTAGTGAAGAAATGAAAAAATCCCCAATTTCCCGCCGGCGGCAGGAGTTGCGGATTCGGACTCTGTACCTGGTTGAAAGAAACGACGTCGGAGCGGAACCTGGTCCGCTCGCCCTTATCGCACTTGATTCCGCTCCAGACGTTGTGGACGACCGTACCGCCGGGGACGACGAGGTCCCGGGTCGGCAGGTTCGGGTCGAGCCGGATCAGTTTCGACCCGGACGGACCCGGCTTGCAGGCCGACAAACGTAGGTCTTTCGTCAAGTCGTACCCGAGCCCGATCGCCGAGACGGCCTTCTCGGCCGCGGTTTGCGGGTCCAGGCGTCTCACCGACATGGCTCCGCCGGCCGCCGCCGATCAGAGTGAGGGAAACGGAAAAGGAAATCCCCAGTGACCTTTGAGATCGAATCAAGTCGAATTTCCCAAATTGGAGGCAAAGACCTTGTGGGTTTTCTATGAAGAAGTAATAGAAGGAGTTGCAATAGCAGAAAGAGACCCATTGTTGAAACGGTCTTCCGGGTTTAAAAAAATTGCTGAAGTCTTCGTCTTGCAAAAATTATTTTTTGTTTGATTTTGGATATAAATTTTTTTGGGGAGGGTTTAGTTTAGGGTTTAATCAATGGAGAACGTTCGGGGCGGGTTGAAATGTTCCTGTGAAAGTGACCACCGGCGGGCCCGGCGACTGACGGGGAGATTCTGTTTTCCGGCCGGGCTTTTTCTTTAGTGTTGACTTTCAAACTCACACACACAGTGTAAAAATGGCGAACACGGAGCCGAGAGCAGAGTGGCGGCTGAATTAAGTAACTGAAAGATCCACGTGGAGGATTGGGATTCGTTGGATTCGAGCTTTTTCGTTATCCTTTGGCGCCGTCCTAAAGCAAGGTATAAACTTTGACGCCATTTTTCTAAGTTGTAGAGTAGAAATTTCCAAGTTACTTTCTTGGTTCTTCCCTCATGCATATCATCACTATCATATGGGAAATTGATTATATTACGCAGCGTCTTAGCCCGACTTTGAATGGACTGGGGTCCTTAAAAATTTCGAGGTAAATGGGGTTCTTACGTGAGGTAGTAATAGTATCGTGGAAAGTATGGGGTACTACACTTCAAACCTAATGCTAAAATGCATATATTTAAAGGGTTTTGATACCCAATTTTTTGCTAAGTGGGTTCCTAAGACTCCTAACCTCAAAGGCTCCCTCCAACACAGATGTTACGTACTAGTTATATATAAAAAATTCCTTTGGTTTGTAAAAAGAATTGCATTGAGGAGTCATCTTGCTCATTCGAAGTGAAAGCGCAAACGAGTTTATAATTCAACATGTAATAACTCCTCTAATTAACTATTGAGTTACTTACTCTAAACTCGAAACTAATAAATATTTAAACCGAAATGTGTGTTGGTAAGGAAATTATATAAAGGTACTTTGGTAATGGAAGGTAATATGTGTATTTGGTATATAATTCTTCTCAAAACACTCGAAGGCGTTCATTTTCTTAAATTACACTCGTGTGAATTAAACGGTAGATTTCAATAAAATAGTATGAACTAATCACGACTAGAATTATTTTTCCACGATCGGCTGCGTCGTTTGCTCTTTGGAGTGGCCTGTGGCTATATCTTGTCGAAATGAAATGAGGCCCTACTCCACAAAAGCATTAGGTTTGGTCCGTTTGGAGCTTGGTTATATTTATTAAATAAATACTTCAACTATCAAGCCTGACGTACTTTTTATCGACTTGATAATTGATGACATAGTAGGAGTTGGTTTCTTTTCTTTATGTAGTTAGCGGAGTTGGTTGGCTAATAGAATGTCAAAGATATGCGGTAAATTAAACAACTGATTTGGGTTAATTTCGGGTCACGATAGTTGTGATCAATGATTTATAGATGTTTGCGATTCAATGTGATGTATTAGTTGATTAATTTGGTACCAGATGTGCGTACTTAAGTGCATCATATTGTTTGATACATACCAATTTATTTATGATCAGATCGACCTATACCAATGTATAACTACGAAAAGTTTTAAATCACTATATACCATTCTGAAATAGAGATCACAATCACAAATTTTCATTGATTTACTAGGTTAAGAGGATTTGTTTCGTAAAAACTGGGGTAAATGCCACATTTGGTCACTGAGAATACTAAATCGTGTCATGTTTAGTCACTAGAAAAATTTAATATTAATTTAGGTCACTCGAATTACTGAAACATGTCACATTTAGTCACTCTCGCATTAACCTCCTTCCAACTCCTGTCACTCGAATTAGTGAAACGTATCACATTTAGTCACTCGAATACAGACCACATTTAGTCACTCCCGTTAGTTTCCGTCCAACTCCATTAATGGAGTTGGATGGAAACTAACGGAAGAGTGACTAAACGTGACTTGTTTTAGTAATTCGAGTGACAAAAATTAATATTAAATTTTTCTAGTGACAAAACATGAGACGATTTAATAATATCGGTGACCAAATGTGACATTTACCCATACAAATTTGCTTGAAATTAACAACCACTGTAGGCTGTGTATCAAGAACGAAGCCGAACTAATTAGTTATGCTCCCAATAAGCCCAGCCATAAATTAGGCCGTCAGTTGAGTCTCGTCCTCAGTTAGCGGGCTAGGCCCACAGGCCCAAACTTTACTTGAGAATAACACGAATTTCGATACCGGAAACAAAATGGGCTGTAATGATGGGCCTCATACGGCCTCGCCGCAACGGATTGAATAAGTTTTTTTTTCTTACACGTATAATGGGCCAATCAATTTCTGGCCCACCGTATGTTTGCATATTCACAAGAGAAAAACGGTTTCTGCGATTTGCCCTAAGAAATTAGTCACTATGATTGGCATTTGATATCCATCTCGGAGACACCAATAGTAAGAGCTTCTAATACAAGGTACCCATACTCGCCCCGTCGAGGACCATACACTGACGGCTAATATCCCGTCGTTAAACATATCAGACGAATCAGATAAAACTTATCATTTTTGTTCATAAAAACTTGATTAATCCGATATTTTCAGTTCTTGCTGTTAGGGTTACAAATCATTGGAAACAAGGTACAAAAAGTCCGATTCTAGAAGGGTGACATACTGACATATATAGCAACATTATTGCCTGCCTTACAATTTAAATTTGCAAATAAAAGGTCAATATATGGATAGATAAAGGGAAGAAGAAGCACAGCTTAAACGTGACAAAATTCTTCAGCTAGCTAGCAAGCAAGTAACCCCAGTGTTTTTAATTTATTCATTTTTCGATCCCAACAATAATAATAGCAACATCAAAATTGTAAAGAAGTCCAAGTCCACCCAAATATGTCCCACTGATTTGATTTGATTTGATTTTGCTCACTCGTTTTCTCAATTATGTCTCTTTCACTCCCACCTTCCTTCTCTTCTATGTGTGTGTTCTTCAACACCTCATAAATTATGAGAGTTCTATACAAGGATTAAAAATTCAGGTAACGACGGTTCGACTATAATTTTTTTTATTGGAAGTAAAATTGATAGATGGTTTTTAGTGGTAGGAAATAGTTGAAACATGATTAAATCAAAATTTCAGTACAAAATACCCTATTGCTGACAATTTCATGTACAATCTTGGTCCTTGGATATGGTTTTTCAATTATTAATTTTATATTTACATTTCTTAATTTCTTCAAAAGATTAAAAGATAACTCAACCAACTGATCCCAGCTTAGAGATAACATTAGATAACATAAATAAAGCTCCTAAAACACTGGTAAAATCGCGACAGGAGGCATGCATTTGCCCCTCTCTTTCCTCATAGTTTCGTTCATATTCACATCTTCACACGCCTCAATTAGTGGCTAATTAAAGATTCGACCCCTCTAATTAATAATTAATAAATCAAGGTCGATTATTTAATCTCACATGTCCGGCCAATCACATGATAGATCAGTGCCTAAGTAACCAGTTGCCGTTTACTTTTGACTTGAATCTTGTTACATTGTTTCGGTGGCCTAATGGAGTTATGGCTTTCTCTTCAAAGCAAGATAATAAAAGATGGGTTAGACATTAAACATAACGACAATCGAGTTGAAATTTTATTTTGGACGAGAGAGACGATAATAGCCCTACCATTCTTCCACTTTTTATTAGCTCCTTTACTAAATTATAGCTACATTTTATAACCTATAATCAATAATCGACAGAGAGCAATATTTGTAACTCCTCGTAGATTACACAGAACTCCAACATCATGTCTATATCCGCACCAAAGCACATTGAAAAGAACGTGTAGAATTGGGTTTATAGATTGGGTATTCGTCCTGAAACCCAAATTTGAGAAGTAACATTATCACTAGAATCAAATGATTTGAGATATGAAGGTGCTATTTTTCTTCTTCTTCTATACATAATGGTATCCAGATCTATAAAAAAAAATTAGTATATAAGAACTTCATTACGAACATGACACGATATGATCTAAGAAAAATTCTATACCGGACCCATGTAGTCAACAACTACAATTACATGTCAACCAGAGTGAAGGAGAGTCAGCTCAAAATTATTACCTCACTCAAATTGTTTAGTCCATGTTCATTCCAAATTTTACGAAATCAGTACAACGAACATAGATGTGTTTATAGAATTTCAACCATTAAAATCTACATTATTTTGAGAGAGATTACCATCAATTCATGCACATAACTCATTACCAATTAGTTAATTCAAGTATCAACATAATTGAGTAGAAATTAATCTGTCTGTATATGGAGGAAGGATTATGTAGTGAGTTACTGGGAAGAAGATTCCAAGGAAGACAAATGAGAATATGAGATTTGCCGTCCGCAGCTACTAATAGAAAATTGTGTATCAAGTTCAAGTATGAACACAGACGACGACAACTCAAGTAAGGACACATCTAGAGCCCTGCCGTTCTGAGTTGGTGTTTTGTGGCTGCTATATGTACGTATATTTATATTAATAGTCGAATAAATAAATTACAATAAATAAACTCTACCACTAATAAAATAGTTTCCATAAAAGCTTGGTTCTGGATATCGACTATACTCCCTCTCTTGTAACAAGAGAAATATTGTCTTATTCTTCAACGGCTTAATGTACATCTTAATTAAAATAAAATACTAATTTTTACAAAGGGAAAACTTAACCTAGATTGATGGACTTTCTAATTAGCTTATCGTAGTCGAGGTAACGAACGAAAACGTAAATTATAACAATTTTTTCTTTTGGATTACATTCAAATTCGATTCAGTTTGAAGGAAATGCAATTTGATTCGCTGAGTACCAGCAAACCCCAAATGAATTCGCGAAGAGAACGTTCTGAATTTTGTGCTTGCTTATCATTAATGGCTAGTTTTCATCTTTTGGTAATCCATTCCACTATTAATTCGAATATGATACTCGTTTTTTTTTTCTTTTATGCCGGGTAATTATACGTGTTCTCCGACATTTTAAAACTGCAACATTTCTACATAATTTTAATGGGTTAATAAATTAGGTAATTTATGATAATGCATTCAAACTCTTATTTGACTAATAAAATATAAATGGTAAGTGTGGTATTTAACTATTTATGAAACGGGAAATTAGGCGGAAAAAAAAAGCAAATACAAAGCTCTTCCCATTCAACGACAATCACGGCAACAGGCTGCCCAGCCGAATGACACGTATACAATTGCCGTGCCTTAAGCCAAACGGCGCCGTCCAATCCATCAGGTTCGCCGAACGAACGACGACAGAAATCAGGATAAAGACTGATTTATTTATGTTACTTCGTTAACGTACAAAAGTTATAATTTATAAATAACCAATTATCCTACCAAAAAGAATAATCAATTAAAATGACGTTAAAGCATAATAAATCTCAACATGGACGCGTGGACCTTTTCGGGCAGGCAAAGCATCGGGGGCGGCGCGGGCTGCCGGCAGCCAATAAATTAGGTGCGTAATGTAATAAAAATAAATTAATAACAAATATCAATTACTTAAATTAATGTATCTTCTGGAGGCAGGTTGTTATTTGGAAACACAATTAATTCATTAATTAAATATTAATGCTTCATTTTCTTATTTATTGCCGCCAATAAACATCCGGATTCGGAATCCCCATTTCCAGCACAAATACGGCTCTATGCCTCTATCCATTGTTATGGTCGTCGCCGATTAATTATAATTCATTTATTTATCTAATTATAAATGCGGAGTTTTTTAAGGGAAAACCGACTGAAGTTTATAGTTTTCCTTTGGTTTTCTGTATATAGGGAGGCCAGCGTTTTGACCAACTCGGAATTGACATTTTTCAACTTATATGGTAGATTGAATTACTACACTTTAATTTACTCGAAAAATAACCATGTACTTCCAAAATAATAAAAATAATAAATCAGAAGATAACATATATCAAATAAAATTACTATTATAGTTTGGTCTTGACAAAACTTGAATCGATCGAGGGAGGGAGACCGTCTTTTTACAAACTTTTCCCCGGCACATTTTGCTTTGTTATAATACAACAACAACAATTGCTCCTCGATTAACTACTAATTAATTAGCAGCAGCATGCTGCCAGTGCGACAATAAAAAATATTATTATTATTATTATTATTATATTATGGCCGTCGGCGCATAAATGAGTACTCTTGGGAATTATATAATATAAACCGCATAAGTTAATGTGCTAATTAAAGGATTAGATGCGAAGCGGTTCGTGGGGCATATTATGGGTCGGGAATTCGGTCATAATGTTGAATGCCCATGTTTGCCCAAATCAGATTCACTTTCGCTTTACCAATAAATGGAATCAAACCGCCGCAGTAATAATAAGTGGAGGTATGGGTTGGGCGGCAGGCAGGCAGGCAAGAATCATAATTTCTACCAAATATATTCGTCTGTGTTTCGATCCGGTTTTTTGTGGGTATAGAGTGGTTGACGGGTTCGGCCAACCACTTTGCTGTGGTGGGTTTGGCTACTTGGTGTACCGTTACGTTCTGTTTTTTTCAAGTAGCTATTGTTTTGACACACTTTAGATTGCATTTGAACAATGATCTATAGCTTGTAGGCAACTAAGTGTTTTTTTTTATTCAAGATAAGCCATAGGGCATGGTCGGACAATACAGTTAAAAGAGAGACACTAATAAACAACGGTAGTCTGTATGCAACCGGACTCCCGATAAAAGAGACTGTTTTGCCACAAGGTGGGCAGCTCTGTTGAAACTCCGAGGAGCAAAGTTACACGAGACTTAGGAAAAGAAGGGAAGAAGAGAGTAGACTTCCTCTAAAATGGCTCCCGCTCTTGAATGAGAGGCCTGCTTCGATGTTACGTCCTTGATCACCCAATTGAGATTTGAGAGTCCACACAAAAAGCAACAGTCAAGAAATTATGAGCGAGACACCATCTCATAGCATCACAAATAGCAAGTAATTGTGATGTATAAGGATCAGTAATGCCATCATAGAATTTACCAACTGCGAATGAAATGACTCCATCACCTGAGAAACCAACGAAGCCAGTAGAGCATCCTTGAGAAATTTTTGCAGCTCTATCGAAGCGGACTAGAACACCGTCACTAGGGCATGTAGTCTATGTTCTCCATGTATGAGAACTATGGCATGTGGAAGAGTGTGATGATAGCCTTTGTATTTCTTCGGACTTCTGGACCTTTTGTGCTTCTGCCGTTTTCCATTCCTCCACCTCCGTTGATAGTTGCCTGTATAAAACTTGCGCTTTGTGTAAGATGTATCCATGAGTAGCCTTACATCGACCTTTCCATATTCTTCAGAACAAGAAGACTATGTAGGCAACTACGTTTATACACCATGAATCATTGAATAATTCGAACCATCACGTTGTTCAACCATGTGTTTGTGTGTCTTCACGATTCATGTACTCCTGCGATTGGAACCCTAACTTCTCATCAATCATAGCTCGAAAGTGCTTACTCTCCGGGAGTAGTCCCGTTCAAATCGAACGAGGAAAATCACATAAATCTCGTTGCATTCTTATCATTTAATGGATTTCTACATTCTCCTCGTGGCTTCACCAACTTCTCCACAACCCCCCCCCCCACCCCCACCGGAGTCGTTTGTTTAGATCGAACCAAACAAAATCGAATCGTTCCCACACCGGTCCAACCCGTCACTTATTGATCCGAACCGATCAAATGCCGCCACCGAGTGGGTTGGTAAAAAGGAAAGGGCGAGGAAGAGCGTGCTAGACACGGTGGAATGGATCGAGTGAAATAAATAATGGGAAAAGGCAGGGCCGATAAAAATAAAAAAAAATTGGCGGTGTGCGGGCAGTTGGGGGAATTGTCAGGACACAGAGCCCAGCAAAGCAAGCAGAGAGTACCGTAGGGACGACTGACTCACTTCCTTCATAAATTTAGGCGGTGGGTGAACTTCTCTCACTATAGAGAGCCTATACGGGACACGCGTCTTCTCGCCATTGGGCACCGCATCCGCTTCCCCCGCCCTCTCTCTCATGGTCCACACGAGCGGTTCAAAGGGATAAAGGCGTGGGGCTGGTTGGCTCCTTCCTTCCCAATAAAAAAGAAAAAAAGAAAGAAAAAAAGGAGGCTATAATCAAAAGGCGGCCCATCACAAGAATGGGTTGGGAAATATGGATCCAAGTCACGCGGCGAGATAGCAGAATCTGCCGACAACTTGTTCAAACTCCCGTCTCTCCCCTTTCCCCCACGCGCCCCTCCCTAATTTCCCGTCTTCTTCTTAATCCCCCTTATTTACACTACTAATCACACCTCCCCCACCGCACAATTCGGACACACTGAATAATAATTTTAGGAGACAGGGCTGCCTTTTCCTAGCGTGTATTAAAAAATGTGCCGAAATTAAAAAAAAAAAACTTTTATCGGATTAGTTAGTTTGACGTCAGTACACCCTAACACAACGTCTCATAAATTTACACTGGATTATATTTCATGATAACTGATCAGTTTTAACCAGTATTTTGATAACTTATTCGGTGGCTAAAAACAAGCTAGAACGGCACATGATTAGCGGCAGGGGGGAAATTAGGGAGAGATTGGAGCCGACGCGCCGGCATAGATGGAGTGGGAGAAGGGGACAAACATCCACCGCACGCAACCTAAAGTACGATCGCAGCCGTAGGATTGTTAATCGCATTTAATTAATTAATTGTGGGAACGGCGAAAGGAGACGTGGAATACCAGAAATACCCTTACGGAAATTCAATCCAATGTCCTTGCTGCTCGCTCGACAGCCCACATGCCACGAAATCCGGGCACCACCGCCGCCCCTCCCTCCTTCTCAGTCAAATCCGCCGTTGACTCCCTCTTTTTTTTTTCCCCTCTCGCATAAATTCCACGTCAGCACCCGCCCCAGCTATATAACAAACCATTCCCCTTTCCCAATCCTTCCTCCCTGCCTCCTACCGTTCGCTGTAAAAAAATCAACCCTTTTCCTTATTTTCCTTCTCTTCCCAAACAGAAGAAGAAAAAAAAAAACGAATGGCTCCCAGAGAGAAAAACACCACCGCCGCCGTAAAACCGAGCGGCGGCGGGTTGGAGGGCAAGGAGGCGCACTTTCGAGGAGTGAGGAAGAGGCCGTGGGGGAGGTACGCCGCCGAGATCAGGGATCCCGGGAAGAAGAGCCGCGTGTGGCTGGGAACCTTCGACACGGCGGAGGAAGCCGCCCGCGCCTACGACGCCGCCGCCCGGGAATTCCGCGGGGCGAAAGCCAAGACCAATTTCCCCTTCCCTGATTCGTTCGTTTCTTCCCCCATTCCGATGATGAGTAACAAGAAGGGAATCGTCGCCGCCGCCGCCGCCAACCATTTTGTCGCCGGGAAGAGCCGGAGCCCCAGCCAGACGAGCACGGTGGAGTCCTCCAGCAGGGAAGGTCCGGCTGCGCCGCCGCCGATGATGACGTTGATGACCGACTCGTCTCCCCCTCTGGATCTGAATCTCGGTCCCATGGGCGGCGGCGTCCGCTTCCCGTTTCAGCCGATGGCGCCGCCGCCTGCGGCGGCGGCCAACCACCCTCCGCATCACGTGTTTTATTACGATGCGATGATGAAGAGCGCGCAGTACCAGAGGATGATGTTCGATCACCATCGTCAGCAGCAGCAGCAGCAATACCACAATCGCCCCCAGGCGATGGTTAGCGGCGGCTGCGGTGGGGTCCAGAGCGATTCAGATTCGTCCTCCGTCGTCGATGCGAACCACCACCAGGCCAGCGATCCGAACGCGACGTCGTCGGCGACGACCAGATCTCTCGATCTGGATCTGAATTTCCCTCCGCCGCCAGAGTCCGCCTGATCTCTGCTCTTTTTGCCCCCCTCGCCGGCCGGAGACATGGAATCAACCTAATCTGCCTGTTTTCCCCGTTATAGCTGTGCCCCTTTTTTTTGTTTTATTTTACCGTCCCCTTTCAGAATTAGGGATCCAAATAGAATTAGCAAAGGAAACAACCAAAAAAAAATTGTATTCCCTACCCAGAAAACAAACATAGAAAAAAGGAACTAAGCTTAGTGCTCCGGGGAGCCGAGCCGGTGATGGTTTATCGATCTGAGATCGGAAACATGGAAAAACCAGAAACCACCAAGGCCGGCTCCGATCTGTAAAGTAATTAGTAAAAAGTCTGATGGAAGGAAGGAAGGATCGATCTCCCTCCCCTGTTTTTTTGCGACGAGAGAATTTCTCTTGTTGTTCATAACTAGTTCGTTCTACTGTACCCTTTCCTTCCTGTGATCAATGGAAAATGAATCGAAAATTCTCAGTTCATTCTTTCAATTCATCTGCTGTTGTTACAATATTTATACACCGTCGCCGGGATTTGTTTGGATAAGAGGGAGAAAAAGAAATCGTTTTGTTTGGATGGGAATCGCGGCGGTAGGCTGCCGGCCGGCAACCGTGACAAGTACGATGCGTTTTTTTTTAATAAATATTTTAATTAATTAATTGACATGTTTAATTAAGTAATTAATTAATAATAAAATGGGGGCAGGGGGAGGCGTTTGTTGAAAATGATGTCAGGCAGAAAATGCGGTGTTGGGGTGGTGGGAGGATTTTAGGCTTTTGACTGTGGGGGTGATTACGGAGAAACAGGTGTCCTTATTACGGCTTTTACCGACGATTCTCTTCTCTTTCCCGTTCCGTTCCGGGGGATTCTTATAGTTAGGCGAAGAAAATGACGTGGAATTAGTTGATTGATCGCTGTAAACAATTTTTTCTTATGCGACCGAATATCTTCAATAAATAAAAATAAAAGACTTTTTTTTTTTTTTTATAATTCAGCTGGTTTTCCGTTTGGGGTCGGTTTCGTCGTCGGGTGAAGTAAACGACGGCGTGTAGCGGTGGAAATGGGAGGAGTTGTAGGGCCTTGTCTGTGACTGTGAGGTTTATTTTATCATAATCTCCTCTTCAGTATTGTAGGTGTTACTCAAAGAGTGTTTTCATATATGAATAAAATGGTATGCATTCTTCTCATGATTCAATGGATTAAGAACAAAGGAAGAGGTTATGATCTGCTCTTGATTGTTGTTTTCTCTGAGTGTTAATCTTTATAGAGCACACAATTAGCTTTTTTATTACCGACTTCTTTGCACGTGGATATCACGTGGTTTGCTGCTTCTGCGGTGATTCTTGCGCAACTCTACCTAGTTAGTTATAGACACGTTGATAGATAGGATTGATGAAGATTACCTGCAAAATAACGGTCTCCTTTAACACATCACTCGCAACAAGCCACTAAGATCAATCTTCTCATACAGGGTTTTTTTTTGGCATTTTTATGTCGGAAAATATATTTTTTTTAATACTAGTTACTACCTGTTGAAAGTTTTCCGTAACTGTTTCTATAAATACGTCCCTCAATTTTGTTTCTTTCCGACACGCCCACTTAAATTGCAACCACTTATAACTTATCTTCCTCACCTAAACTCCAACGATTTTTTGTTTTAATTCACTCCTCGGTTGTTGTCAGTGACAGTTATACCTTATAAAAAGATTTGATCGGCGACTTACAAATGTCTTTTTTTTTTTGTTCATCTTTCCAACAAAATGCAATCACTTACAACTTGTTCTCGAATTCCGTTGATCCAAATTCTCTCTGATCTATGAAATGGTGGTTGAAAATTCCGTTGATCCAAATTCCTTGTTTTGATTCATTTTTTTCAGTTTAGTGTCATTGTATAGAAAAGTCGTGGTACACTTGTTTATAGACTTTCTTTTTTTGTTGTTCAACCTAACTACAGAGTACAGTAATATTACTAGTTGATTCAAATTCTCTTCTGCTTTGATCTATGCACTTTGTCGCATTTGGTTTACCCTTGGGCTTCATTACCAAGGAATCACATCTAATGGTAATCGTTGGAATGGACATTTACGCCTAGAATATGAACGTTCTGTTTCTCACCTACGTACTTTGCTTGCCCTGTTTTTTTTTTTGTCGCCTGTCGGCAGTACTGGTAATGTGAAAGAAACGGGAATCGGCCGGGAAAAGCAAAGCAAAAGTCGGCCGTCTGCCTCCGAACCTATATTATATGTCGTCCGGTGCATATGTTATTGTTACCTGCAGATGTAGTTCAAACGGCCGGGGGAATCATGCCGATTGAGTGAGCGGGGAAATGGTGATAATGTTATAATAATGGGAAAACGCCGCTGCAGATTGAATCGAAGGAAGGAAAGTGACAGAAACTTCGGCCGAGCGCAGAAATTCGGCCGACATTTTGGCCCGTCAGGATGCTGTTACAGATAGTGCCATTCCCAGTCCATTTATTCCCTTTCTTGGTTAGTTGCCTGCCGTATTACTCCTGGAAACCTCTACTATATTTACTCCGCCGTTGCAAACTTGTTGTGCCTAGGCTAGAGTAGGTCTATCGGCTTGGCTATGGAAAACCCAAAACCCGAACGGCTTATTGGTTTTTGGCTTTCTCGAAACTGATAAGCTCCCCTCTTAATAATTTGGTTTTAAGTATGGAGAAACCAAAAAAATAACTGAACTGCTAGCGAGATATTAGACACGTTATATCAGAAACCGAACTTGCAAGTTGCAACCCTAGGCACAAGTCAAGAGTATGTTTTTTCTTACTCGAGGCGATAAATCAAGAACATGGTTTGTGCTCGACGTTTTTTATATAATCAATTTCTCATCAAATCGGTGAGCCGTGTGCAACGTACATAGAAAATACGGTTGTGGCCGACAAATTAAACCCAACAAATGATGAATCAACTCGTTGCCCTGTCGTATAAAAACAAAGAACCAGCTGCTATCAAATCAACGTAACCGAATTCACGTATATAACACGATTTGGATTAGACTCTCAAGATGGTCACGTGCCGCTATATATGGGTTGTTTGACTGAGTAATCCTAGCTAGAATGTGTTGGCCTGTGAAAACTCATGTAATAAGACGAGACATTCTCATGTTGATGAAAGGTTTGAATACTAGAACGGGGGATGGATCTGAACCTTGCCTGTCATGATCATTGATCGACCAAATTGACCCAACGACGACGTTTGCTTGTTTGTTTGATTGAAAAGCTGGATGGATGGTTTGTTGATAATTACCTCCTAATAACTAGCTGGCCGGTTGATGTTAATTATTCTGATCGTTGATTTTGTCGATGCTTGATTGATTGATTCCCCTAAAAATAAATGGGTGAAAAAGGGAACTGCCGCCTCGAAGTCAAAACTCAAAACTATTCCCACCCTTACAAATCTCGCCGTCGATTGAGCTTGTCCTCTCTCTTGTTGGATTTTTCTTGGTTGGCTAATTCGCCGGAGACCGAAAAGTGAAGGATGAGATTGTACGCCGACCGGCTCTGAAATGTTCCGAAGACTACTGCTCGAGTCCCTAGTAGAACAAGTCTACTTGTTTGAAAACTTTAATCTTGTTAACTATTAAAAAAAAAAATTCTTTTTAACTAGTGACAATAATGCTAGATTGGTGAACGAATGTTAAAACTTAAAAAAAAAAGCGATGACTCTATGTACTTCTTGCTTAGAGGTGATCATTGATCATAGTACAATTGAACCAAAGGGTCTGGGTCAACTAGTGAATTCAAGTTATTGGTCTCAACGAAATTTTGACACTTACATACACAACTAAACATATTGTCATGTTCAAATCGAAAGCACTTGTTTTCGTACTCAATCAGGATAGCCAATTAGGATCTGATGGGGAACTACGAATACGATACAAGATCGTGATCACTGATTTAGATTTTAAGTGTTCAACGCAATCGAACCCCAAAAAAAAATGTAACTTTTGATTTGATATGATAGAGTATTTGGGTTATGTCAATTTGATTTATTAGTGTGGTGTTGTGACAGTTCAACTTGTTGAACTTACGGTCTTGTTGAGGCTACAACATTCTTGGTAAGTTTATGAATTGGGCTAATAATATTAGTCTAAGAAATTCAATTAACCCAATTTGAGACCCTCCTCAAATTTAACTTCTTTAGTTTTTACAATGATTAGGTTCAACCTTTAGAACGAACTTAATCCTTTCATAAATGACCAAGCGATATAAAAATCCCTACCAAGGAATGGGATAAATCATAAATATTTGCCGCCAGCCCGCCACGGACGGCGCGTGGGAGACGGTGCGACAGTAAAAATTTTACGCGGCTGTGGGGAAAGCGGTGACTGTAAAAGTAAAAAGTAAGAGAATAGGAGTTCATCCGATTCATCCAACCAGGTTTTGTTGACCGCTCCATCTGGAGATTCGTGTCAGCATCGCACGTGTTGACTGACCGTCCGATCACGGCTGTCATTAAATATTTTCATTTTTAAGTTTTTTTTATTAATGGAGGCAGCGGTGGCAGGCAGAGCAGATGCGACGGCGGGCCCCGCCGGAGACCGCTGGCGCTGAAAGTGGGGGTAGAGAAGCGAAAGCGCGGCTGCCGCTTTTTGTTTGTTTCGTGGGCCCCACTCGCTTCGCGTTTTGTCGTCGCCGTCCTCAATGCCGTTTCCATTTTCTACGCCCTAATTTTGGTTTCCCATTATCCTGTTTATTTATTTAATTATTATTTGCCTGATGATAAGAAAACAGAGTTTGTTGTAAGCGTGTCTTTGGAAAACAAGATATGTGTCAATTACTGCGACAATTCATTTTTCTTCCTCACCATGAAGCAACTTACTATTGAATTGAAGTGTGAACTCTTGTGTTGATGGATGGAGGAGACACTTTCGTTTTCAAGTTTGTTGGCGGTGGAGAAAAATCTAATGACGCGTAATCTCACTGTTGTAGATGAGATGATTCGACTCAAATACTCGGATTATTTAGAACCGGTCCTTTAAAAATCAAGACTTTAACGATCATATATATCGTAATCGACTTGTTAATTAACTTGCTGTCAATAACTAGTTAGTCCCAATAATTTTGTTTGGATTGTTGGGAGAGGTTGAATAAAGAATGTTATACTATAACTAACATTGCCCCCTAAAAATGATTGCCACTCTTATAGGTTTGAAGTTTGCACATGAATAAGACACTATGTGCTTACCAACGGGGATTATCGGGATTCGAACAACAAACACCTCTGTCACGGAAGACTCTGATAGATGATCACATGGTAAATAACCTGAATGGGAGCCAAATTACATGAATGATCACCGAAGTTTGGAATTACTGAACGATTGATCACGCAACTTGGATTTCCAAATCGATCAGTTGGTGAAGATTCAAAATTGGGTGACCGGTAGCGTAATTTGGCCGATGAGAGGGAACAGCGACGGGAAGATTCCCACATTAGCGACAAAGTGAGAATGACACACCCATTTTTAATATATATTCATGAAAGTACGGCGGCGAAGAAGAAGAAGTCGTGGGAGGGAAGAAGGTGGCGACGTGTCCGTCGGATGGCGACAGACAGTTGAGCCGGCGGGGGGTGGTCGTCGTGTTTCCATGGCTACCAGCCACTCTGCTTTTTGGCGGCGGGTCCCATTCCCCACCGCGACGGCAGATCCCGCGTTCTGATACGCCACGTTACCCACCGGGCGGCTGCCGCATTTTGGGCCCACTAGGCACTAGAGTGCAGTAGACCCTTTTTATCCTTTTCAAACTTGGGCCCAATAGCGGGCCGCTTTCATTTTCTTTAATTCTTTTCCCTTTTTTTCTATGTTATATATACAGATAAAGTGACAGCTGTTTCTTTCATTTTGGAGAGTATTTTAGTTTTAGCGGTATTTATATGTGTAAAATTCGAGAGAAATGAATGCGGAAGATGAAACGAGATCAGATTTACGTGGTTTCTCCGTTCGGTATGAACGGGACTAGTCCACGGGAAGGAGAGCTTGAAGGCTCTCCGAGGTACCTCTTATCTCTGTTTATTCTTTCTTAGGGTTTTCGGCCATGATGCTGCCGAGTACATATAGTAAAACGTTTCCAACTACGTAATCAGCAAGGAGAAGTAAAATGTCTAATCTGATCCCTATAATTAGCACAAGTTACATATAGGGATCGCTACAATATGACTTAACACTTCCCTAGATAAAGTATTGGCTGTTGAGAGATGATAAATTTATTCCTAATCACGATTAATTGTGGCATTGAAGATATCCCATTAGTGGATAACAACCGACGAAGCAGCTATCCATCCACCATATAACCACCAAAATGCTGCGAGAAAAACAACAAACAATTCTTGGTGGAGGATTAGGTGCGGAGGAAGACTGTTTTTTTTTTGTTGTTGTGGGGCGGCTGCTACAAATGCTTTGCTTTGCTGTTTACTCGTTAATGCATTGCTAGCGTTTGTTTTGTTTTTGCCGCCTTTTCTTTTTTCCTTCTTAGTGGACTTTTGTTGCCCACTCGAGATGACAGCTTTTCCTAGCTCCTCCCATTCTCACAACCACGAGTTTGGGATTACTACACCTGATGGTTGATTGATCTAAGTTGGATCGAATGCGGTGGAGATCGTATAAGGTTGATCTCATTTGTTGGATCGAATACGATTGAAATCGTGCCAAAGTATTGATTATGAATATTACCAAATGTGTCATCCAACAAGTTGAAGATACCTTCTCAGCGGCCTTTCATAAGAAGTGCAGTTTAAGCGATGGAATACAAGTTAAGTGTATGGAGATTAGTATAAAATGAGTAAATTTGAAGGTCTATGTGACTCCTTAAGCGTAGCATCCTAAATAGATACAATAAAATAAAAGTTACTGCCTGGATTTCGGCGCTAAAAAAACGTTACTATTAAGAGGGGAAAAATTAAACAAAAAAGTAGAATTCACGCGAAGGGTCCGGCCGAAAGTTCTGGTGGTGCGAGAGGTAGAAGATTAAAGGTGAAGTGGTCGGAGCGACACGGCGGCGGTGCTGGCGGCGGAAGTTTAGAAGATGGGGCGACTGTTTCTGGTGGAACTGGAAGGCAGGTGCTACCGCTGCAGATTTTGCGACACCCCTCTCGCTCTTGCCGACGACGTTATTTCGCGGGTACAATCAATTTCAAACCCTAATTCGTCATTTGCCCCTGCTGCTTTTCCCCTGCAATCGGAACCCAAATTGGCCGTAGAATCTCTGATTCAGTTTGGGGCTTAGGATGTTTTACCTATGAATTGAACTTTAATTCCATCCTAAGTCGATTCCAGTTGACTTTGCCGATTTCTATGTGTCAAATTAGCGGGAATAGGAAAGAACAAAGTCATCAGCTTTTCATTTCTTTGTTTGATTTGGTGATGACCCAGCAAGCCAGTTCTTCGAATTAATCACTATTCAACTTCTGTTTTTGGTGGGCAGACGTTCAATTGTAGGCAAGGGAGGGCATACTTGTTCAGCAATGTGTGAGTGAACTGTGCTTGAGCTTGTCAAACAGCAGGGCGTCTTCTTCTTCGATTCTCTCCCATGGTTCAATGGTCACTAATAGTATCATTCTGCTCTGTCCTGAAACTGCTATTTCAGAGTGAATGTAACAGTTGGCATGAAAGAGGAAAGGGTGATGCTTTCTGGTACCCACACAGTGGAAGACGTCTTCTGCTGCCGCTGTGGACAAATCCTTGGGTGGACTTATGTAAGCTTTTCATCTTGTGTGTGTCGAACAGAAACCAAAAACTGGCATTTGAAATCGATTTAAGGTTTTCTGTTTCCTGTGAATGTAGTTGATTCATCATGTTGTGTGTTTTGTAACGCAAATGCAGGTAGCTTCTCACGATAAGAGCCAGAAGTACAAGGAAGGGAAGTTTGTTCTTGAGAGGTAAGGTGCTCTGTTATTTCCCCCCCCCCCCCCCCCCCCCCCCCCCCCGCATTCCTCTAGCATTGTGGTGTATAAGCTGAGCTGAAAAAGCTTTACCATTAGGTGGAGGATAGCTGAGGAGGTAACTGAGGAATTGAGTCTCAATGGAGGTCATCATGCTTCGAGCGATCCGGACAACTCGTGAGATGATTAGTCGACTATGCTGCGGAATCCAGTAACCTCACCACCACGACTAGTGACACGACGGTTAGTAGTGCAGAAAGTTTTGTTAATAATCATAAAGTTCTTCCCCCTAAGATGTTGTATGTTAAAGTACAAGCACCCTATATGTTAAAACGGTCAGGTTCTTGCTTGAATGCAGAAGTAAGTGCACTGGTGTGTGTAGCCATCCCCTGGCCCTTCAAAACCCTAATAATTGAGTGGAAATGGTGCTTCCCCGAATATGAGACCACATTCAGACATCAACGTAACTTCTCTTGTGGGCTTTTTGAATGTTCCTTTTCTTTTTTAGGTTTTGATTGCATCTCAGTCCTCGATCTGGTTCCTTTATCCCGTCATGCTCGATACTTCCATTGATTGTGGCCTGTGGGCAATATGTTTCGGTTTTCAGTTCCGTTGAACGTTAACAACTGTCCAAATGCACGGAGCGGAACTGTTTGTGAAGATGGAATAATGAATCTTGCTTATCCAGAGACTACTAATTTTGATTTACGTTTCGTTCTAAGTTTTCGTGCTAACTGAAAACTGAAACCGAATTTCCAGCTCTATGAACCTCCATGTTGGTTGTATCGACTAATATCCAAAGCTCCGATTTACTTTCCATCACCAAACATTAGCAAGCAAAGCAATGCTACCGACAATGATTGCATTCATCTATGGCTGGATTTCTAGCGGGCATCCAATTGGACAACAATGCTGTAGAGTGAAGAGAAAGTTCAAAGAAACCAGTTGGCAAACGTGGGTTTGGATATTGCCACCATGAATTATTGAGCTAAAAAAACAAAAGAACAGGAGGATATATTAAGATAGGATAGCATAGTTTGGTTGGTTGGATGGATGGATTAATGCCGAAAGGCCGGCGTTGGATCTGTTTGTGGATTAGATTTGTGACCATGATAGGGGTTGGTCCCCTTTGCTCAGTTGGCCCAAGCTATGGGTCAAACCTTTCGTCCCAATCCCATTAGCCTTTAGGTCATTACTATAAAAAATCCAAGTTTCATAATAAAAAAAAAAGGATTTTCGTGTATTAATCCTTGTATTGATAATATGGACAATACGACGTTATCTCAATTTATGTTGAATACTATAGTAGTATCAATTTATCTAAAATTGCAGAGTTACATTACTATCAATAAAATTAGAAAAATTCTCATGGCCAACTCTAAAGAGTTTGCACCACGGTTATCTCTGATGGCTCGTTTATGCAACTATTAGGGTCACCGGCGAAAGGACACGTGCTTAGAGGTTGGCAGGTTCAATTATTTGCGTGTGTGTGGGTCAGGATGGGGAGGGGGGGCTCACAATGAGCACGAGCAAATGTGCAAACACTAGAGCTGAGTTATCGATTCGCACACAATTGTTTAAAGTTCGCACGTGAATCGAGAATATCGTTGTATTGCTATGTGGAATGATTCTACAACACCGGCGGCTTTCCCCCTTCGATGGTGGAGGACCCAGCATTCAAGCATCAACCTTTCAAATATGAGTTTTGTTTATTACAGACTGTGAGGTCACTTTATATCAAGTGTATATGGAGGTCAATTCTCATGTTGATTGTCCAGCTAAATAATAAGTGTAATTATGTGTCGTTAAAAACTTATATTTTTAGTCTTGTGGATTTAGATATAGATGTTCATCCTTGTATGATTATATTGGTTATTTCCTATCACACTTGACAATCAGTAATAGATAGTAGTGCTAGCACCCGTTTTCATTTACAAATGTACGGTGTTCAAAATGTGCCAATGGTTAACAATCACATATTAAACGAGACTGAGACTCATTATTGTCATATTGTGTGCATTGTTCAAGTGTAATTATTATCCTTTTTTTTTATTAATTAACTTCTAATATAATCATATTCTCAATTTATATATTCCAAACAAACAACGGGAAAGCGTAGGGGTGGTAAACGGTAATCCGGTAAACGGTTTACCGTTTTACCGAACCGGTAACCGGCGGTAAACGGTAAACCGTTTACCGGCGGTATCGGTAGCCGAGCGGGAAGTTGGGGGAGTCGGTTTACCGAAAACGGTATCGGTAAATACCGACGGTAAATCGGTATTACCGATACCGAATCCCCCCTCCCTACTCCCTAGTGTTGCGCCTCAAAAATATTGTAAATAAGAGTTAATATAAAATATTACATACATGAATGTAAGTATAGGCCTCAAAAATATTGTAAATAAGAGTTAATAATAAATTATTAATTACTAAAATGATGAAAAAAAACTCAAAAAACTCGAAATATTACAACATCACCCCACTTCCAGAGATTCGGTTCGGTAAATATTCGGTAAACCGACCGAAAAAATCGCCCGAAATCGCTTCTCACGGTATTTCGGTAATACCGGTTTGTTACCGTTTACCGGTAATTCGGTAATCGGCAAACCGGTTACAAATCGGTATCGGTAATCGGTAACCAGTTTGGCCAACTTCGGTATACCGAAACCGGTAAATTCGATAAACGGTAAATTGTTTACCGACCGAATCCCACCCCTAGGAAAGCGTGTTATGTGATGTAGGTTGCCGGCAAAGTTTAGGGGCCCATGGCCGATTCATCAGCATTATCATTGGGCCCACAGTCCACCCATCCAAAGTCCACAAGTCCACAGACGGCTGGCTGCTGGACGACGGGCCCACTCCTTTTTAGCATAGAATTAAACACGCGGCTTCTTTTTTTTAAGGTGTTTGAAAATTTGTCCATTCCTGGGAAGCACCAAATATATATCTCCCAATCGCCAATCAAATCCAACCTCTTTATTTCAGCCCACTGTTTTGGAGAACGACGGTAATGGTATTGCAACATCCACGTACGCACATCCACTTCTCACAACACAGTCCAGGAAAGATTCGTTAAGGTGTAAAATCTCTTACTAATTTCAATCGTTTTATACCGTTAAAATATAAATCAACTTAAATTTTGATAAATAATTTTTGTTTATACCATTTTTGCTCCAGACACGAATAATAATTAGTCGCCGGTTAGGGATAACTGTTGGGCGTACCAGTTGGGCGACACCGACAACAATCCCAAACGGTGCCTCACTACTTAAGTTAAGTCTATACATGCTCGAATTCTTGGTTTAGCGTCACTAGTAACCGTCTAACAATTTTTTTCGATTGAATAATCTATATAATACGGTTTTGCAAAGACCAATAAACATTTAAATTCCATATTAGAAAGTATAGCTGCTTTGGAGCCTAATATAATCACATTAAGGAAACGCAATTGAGTGCACCAAACGTGGATTGGTTCATGGTGGGCTAGGGCTGATATATTAAGTCAAACCAATTTTGTCACTAATCCTCTTTTTTTCCAGGCACTGAAATCGTAATTGGTCTAATTAAATGTTGGTCCCGATTATTATTAAATATTATTCTTAACAAAAACAAAAGCAAACAGCCAAATCCCACTTTACTCAATTCAATAATTAAAATAATAACGGCACGACCGAGTCGTCGTAATTATCACGCTGCCCCTGCCCGCCATTATCAAACACACGCGGACGCGGGAAAGCCACCAAAGAGATTGGCGGTAAAATCATAAAATAATTAAAACAGCCAATGAGAAGAAAGGACAGGTGTAGAAAGATAACAGGACCGAGATTTCACTCAGGAAAACGACAAGGTAAAAAGAGCAACGCCGTGAGGGGGCCTCCGCCGCCGGTGGTTGCGGCGGTGCCGACAGAGGAGTTTTCCCCTGTACGTACGGGATTGACAGCGTGATACCCACATGCCCATCCCGTTTCCCTGACAGCAAGTTTTTTTGAAATTTTATCAGAAAGGTAAAGCGGTGGTTGGAGACAAACACCGCCGCGATGGATCTGGAGGAGAGAGGGCCCCGGCGGTTATGGTGTAAATTTAATGTCCGGCAACCGTGCGGCGCTGCCACGTGACAGACACGAAATTAAAAGTCGCCATCTCTTCCTCTCTCTCCATCTCCAAGCGGAATCTGGATTTTGGGGACCACCGGGAAGGAAAATGGAGGAGCGGTGGGGAGGCGGTCAAATCGGTCGTTTTGTGTCTTAAATTGGAGGTGGGTTTTGAAATGACGGGGGGCGGCTGGGGTGTCGGCTTCGGCTGAGCCGGCCCGGTGGAGCTTTCCCACCGGCGATGGCTCGGCACTGCTCTCGAATTGATGGTTCTAGGCTTCTAGTCTCTAGGTATAGAGTTGTTAATCCGATTTAAGTCATTAAGTCGGTTGATGAAGTGGTTTGAGGTTTAATGATTTAATAGAGGTTAATTCGGTCTGAATTTCTTACCGAATAATAAAAAACTTACCTTATATAAATATTTATTATAAGTTCACATTCTATGAAAAGAATCTTATACAACCTCCTAAATCCTAATCCACCTACCATTCCTCACCCCCTCACATATTCCCTTTTCCTTCTTTCCTCTCTTTAACGATCTATTCGCTGAATTTCTGAAAATTCATTTAAGAGTACAATTTGGTCGGATCTCATCGATCGATCGGTAGTAGTTTAACAACCTTGTTTTTTATATTCCAGAATTAGAAGTTTCCAATTTTATAGTTTGTAATTGGACTTGAATCCCATTAAGCAAATGATAATAGGGGTGGCAGTTCAGTTATTTTGGTTATAATCGGTAACCAATCGACCGGTTATCAGTTAACCGAAATAACCACTCTCCCTATCGAAAACCGCCCGAAATAGGCTTCGGTTTTTCGGTTATCTCCTAGTAATTCCAATAAGGAAACGGATAAGCACAAGGCTTCTGCTAACAATTATGACCGAGAGAGTCCAAAGGCCAGACTCACCGGCGCCGCATGATACTGACGACCTACTGGAGGAGAGAGAGAGGGACGTGGAAGCGCCGCCGCCGTTCGCCGACAAAATACACGGGAGTTCCGGTACAAGCGCACTAGCCAACAAACATAAAAAGTAGCCAACAGTCAGAATACCCCCACAGAAAAGCACTGCCCTTTTTCTTCCTTAGTTCCTTTTGACAGATTCCATTGAACCCCTAATTGGACCGCCGCTGGCCGCATTCAAATCCGGCTGCAGCCGCCGAGCCACTTCACCGGCCGGCAGGACATAGATAATATTAATTAACTCGACTTCATTGTCACTCCTTGCTTGCTTCCCACTGACTCGACTTTGCTGACGTTTTTTCCCTCCTCTGATCTGAGTGGGCAAATCCTTTTCATTTAAAAAAGGTTTGCCAGTCACAGTCTCGGCCCTTTGCGTGTTCTTCTTCTTGCTTTGCTTGCTTGCTTTCGCTGTCTAACTGTGTGTGGTTTCGGTGTGTATTTTCTTTTTCAAGACTGTCGTTGTCCCGTTTTTACCCTCGGCTGCAGGGATTTCTCAGCAGCCTCTCCTTTTTTTCTTCTTCAAATTCTTGGACTATTTATTAATTCCTCTTTTTTCCTATTAATATATGGTGACTCAATTGTTGGGCCTGGAGAGTGGAGACTGGGCCTTTTTGCTCATTTCCTTTTCCCATGATGCTTTCCTCCTGTGGGTGAGGGAAAAGGTCATCTATTTTCAGATGTGGAAGAACATCGTTATGCCTCGATGTATAATTAAGATAATGGGTTCTTTGAAATTGATCTGCTTCTCGTGATT